TAAATTAACAATTGAATTTTTATATATATATATATATATATATATATATATGCATAATTATAGTATTAATAACTCATATATTTAAATTTTATTTATTTAGTTAGTTAGTTCTGCCCACTATAGTTCATTAATCAAAATTAGAAACTTGCATTGAATCACAAAATGCATTAATATTATTATATGTGCAAATGAGCAACTGCTTTGTGATAATTACTCCAACTTAGAAACATGACACATTAATATAGAATTTGACAGATGTATTGTAGAGTCACAGATGTGAGTACTGTATATCCAAAACTCTGAATGCAGCTCATCCCATCATAATTTGAGATGTAATGTTATTTATATAATGACTTTTACAAAAGAGTACGATACAGTAGGGTAAATCATCTTTAGCAGATTCTATAATCTATGCTGTGATTTGTCATGTCAAAAGCTGGAAGCATGCAAGGGGTTTCACATTTCAAAAGTCTGTAAAGTAAATTTCACTCTGACATGCATAGCAAAGCAGTTTCTGTTGCACAATCTAATCTGTTATCCACCACGTTCAGCTTTGAAAGTGTGCATAGGTTCAGTGATGTGTGTCATTTTCTTCACACAGAAGACCCGAAGCATTTCCCTGTCAGCAGTCTGACCTCCAGTTTCCAGGAATCCCGCTACCCCTCAGACTACTTCTTCAGTGAGTATCTGCCCTTTGTTTCAGTTCGCCTCATCAGTACCTGAGCACACGTTCAGCACTTCAGTCATGACTGTACTAGATGCCATCTGTTTGTGAAGGCAGTTGACAAAATCCTTTATCACTTAATGCCTGCCTTAAAGGAAGAGTTAATTCATAAAATTTCTGTATTAACTCACCCTTATGTCATTCAAGTCTAACTTTATTAATACAGAAAGCTGTTGCTCTCAAGCTAAGAAGTACCGTAAAAGCACCATGAAAGTGTGAATTCATACAAAGTCATACATGGCTTTGAAATTTAATTAGGGATGCAGTGAGAGATTCTTGTTACAGACAATAATATAAAATTGTCAGAATAGCTAAACTAAATAAATAAATAAATACAAACTCAAATAAGTTGTTTTCAATGCTACAAGTGAATTTAGGCATCACAACGTTATAATATACAGTATGAAAAATTGATATTTGCTAAGTACCAGTATCAATATTTGCTAATATGTATATACTTGCATAGTGACAGTGTTATTAAAATTATTAGTTATTTTAAAGTGAATTTTATCTTTAATCTAATAATCTCTCATTTTAGCCGATAACCGATATTGTGTACCGATATTGTAACCGATATACCATGCATCCCTAAATTTAAGGTCTCTGCAAATAATCTTCTTTTGAAATAAACGTTTTTGTCTTCCTTTGCTCCAGACTATGGCATAGAACATCCTCAGTGTGTCCCTCCGTCAGAATACTCCGAGCCGAGCTTCATCACTGAGTCCTACCAGACCCTCCACCCGATCAGCTCAGAAGACCTGCTGTCGCTCAAATACGAGAGCGAGTATCCCAACGTGATACTGCGAGACACACCTCTCAATCCACTGCAGGGAGACTACTTCTCAGTCAAACAGGAAGTTGTGTCACCTGACAACATGTGTGTGGGTCGCATTAGCAGAGGTGAGCATGGGCCAAAGGTCATGTGTTTCGTTGGAAACCAAACTGCGTTCATGCAAGCTCTACATTAATATGGCTTAAATGTTCGGGAGACAAAAGCTAATTCCTTTCATCTTAGATGCATGTTTATGATCTCCCATCGGGGCTTAAAGCAGTGTGTGGTCTTCAAAACGCCACTCTCATCTCGCATTACCACAGTTATGCATGCATTGCCAGGGAATGAAGTAGACCGTTGGGTTTGTTTGTGGTTCTATCTTACACCATCTCGAGATGCTCTCAACTGCGGTAGGGAAAAAGGAGAGAAAAACAAAGCTGTTTGCTTCAAAGTGAGAGATGTTTGAAGCCACAGAGCGCTGGTAGCTGTCTTTTGTGTCAAGGCGTCCGCTTGAGGTTACGTTACTGGGGTACGAGGTGTTTTTGTGAACCTTAGGTTCTCGTAAGGAGCGAGAGGTGTAAAGCGTGAAAAGAGCGTTCCGGTTTCTCCTGAAGTATCTTTACTTCATGTACGTCTGGTTTCACTCCCGCTCGTCGAATAAACAGCCCGCCTGTCTAACCATCGTGCAGCTGAGCAAATGATCGCGATTTGGATTGGACGTTGAGATTTGTTAAAGTCACTTGTATATTTTTGAAAAACACAGAGATTTGGGTTTTCGCCCTCTAGGTACGCACTGTGGAATAAATCCCAGCTTTGGCAACGGCGCTGTGTTTTTCCTGCGTGGGAAAGTATTTGTGGTGCCACCAAACTCGCATGTGGGTTCAATTTTTCAATTGAGGATTTCAGGATCAGACCCAGCTCTGTATTATCTTTCATTCTGTAATTGACATTCAATGGAGACCGGCCTTTTATCTCCAGCTTGGCCAAAAATAGAGAAGCAATTTGTTTTGATTTTCTTCCAATTAGAGAAAACCCAAATATTTCCACATGGAAATCGTGTAAGAGAAAGACAGTGCGGTGTGGGGCAGTTCTGGATTTTTCCACGTGGTTGGGTCTAGACTGCTTGTGAACTTCTCTGGCTGGTGTAGTTGCCAAACTTTGCACCCTCTACAACCAAAGACATTGGGTTCATGGGTAGAAATAAAGGCCAGGGGCCTCATTTCTAAAACACATGTACAATCAGATTTCATCCTTTTCGTAACAAGTGAGGAAAAAAAATCTGGATTTATGAAGTCAAAAATTGACATGCAAGCGTGCAAACTTTTTGCGATCTTATATACCATTAATTAAAATAATCCAACATTGTTTATTAAAATGTCAAGATAATATGCATTAATATGTGCAAACGGGCAGCCGCTTTATAATAAAAACGTCACTGAAATGAATTCATTAATTAAATATGATTTCCTGAAAAAAATACTACTACTACTACTACTTTTAGGAAATTTTCAGAAATTGTTGTACGTTCATATTTAGGAACATTTCAGTGTTATTTTAGCATAATTGAGTTATTATTAAATCTGAATCCATTTTAATTTTGTTGTGTGTTTTTGTCATTGTAGTAGTTTTTGCATATATAATGGCTGCAATATAACAAAGAGTGAAAAATTTAAGGGGGTCTGAATACTTTCCGTACCCACTGTATATATATATATGTATATGTATGTGTGTCTATATAGATTTTTTTTTCAGTTTTAGTCATTTTGCTACATTGCTACATTTATTTTATTAGTTTGCTTTCATTTAATTTTAATTTCATTTTTTTATTTTTATTTAAAATTTTGTATGCATGTCATTTTAAATGAGGACCCTGATCTTTAAAGGAATAGCCTGTCGGTTTTAAAAGTCAGCATACTGTTATACGCTGTTATTTTTTTCTGTGTAGATATTTTGAAGAATGTCCATGCTCCTCTTTTCCATACAACATGAATCAGGTCAAAACACTGTCTGTTTGAATATGTGGAATGAAAAATGACTGTGGATGATGTTTAATAACAATGAAATCTCCATCGCAGGTAAGCTGGGAGGTCAAGATTCGTTTGAGAGCATTGACAGTTTCGAGAGCTGCGACAGGCTGACGCAGTCCTGGAGTAGTCAGTCGTCATTCAGCAGCCTACAGAGAGTTCCCTCCTACGACAGCTTCGATTCGGAGGACTATCCCACCGCACTGCACGGACACAAACCAAAGGGTACCTTCAAAGACTACGTACGGGAGCGCTCGGAACTCAGCAAGGACAAACCGGTCATCCCGGCGGCTGCGCTCGCTGGCTACACAGGTCAGCATTACCCCAGATTCAATCATTCACCGCTCGTGAATGACTGAAAAAAACCTACTCGCATGCATTAAACCCCAAATGAGTCAGAATTCAAATAAGCACAAGACCTTGAGACATAGCCTAGTTTCACAGTCATACACAAGGCCAACAGTGCAACTTTACTGAAAATTATTTTATACTAGATTTTGAGCATGGTACAATGGTATTATTTTTGTTTTTTAGACTTTTTGTTTTTTATGTTGTACTTTTTTTTTGGACATGTACCATGGTACTGGCATGGTATTCTTTGAAATATGACTTTGAGATAATTGGAAAAAAATACCATGGATTTTTTTTTTTTTTTGATGCCATATTATTACCATGGTATTCTTGGTAGTACCATGAGGTACCATCTAAATATGATGTCACATACCAAATCATAGATCATTTATGATATGATATACTATATCTTAAAACATGCCATGTTATTCTATATATCATAAATCATATTATATTGTATATCATATAACGCATCATATCATATATACTGTAAATCATATATCATATCATATCAACAACCATATGATGTTATTTTACACATCATATGATAAATCATGTCATATTAAATTCCATATCCATGCTACTTTCCCATGCTATTTGCCATATCATATCAAAAACCATGTTGTTCCATATATGATCTCATAGATTATATTATATATCATATTGCATACCATATCATATTAAAAGCCATGTTATTCTATATATCATAATAAATAATATTATATATCATTTTGCATACCATATCATATTAAAAACCATAATATCAGAAATCATATTATATATCAAGAAGCATGTGTTATTCCATATATCATATTTAAAATAATATTGCATGCCATTTTATATACTTTATATCATATCATATAAAAAAAATAACGTATTCAATATATTTCTCAATAATAAGTCATGCATCTTATTGCCTACCATATCATATCATAAAGCATATGATATGCTATTCCTTATATCATAAATCATATTTATATGTCACATTGCATACCATACGGTATATTCCATATATCAAAAACCATATGATGTTACTTCATATATCATATATCACATTGCATCATATCAGATGTTAGTCCATACATCGTATATAAATGATATCATATGTCATATCATATACATACAGCAGCAAATGAAATGAAATATCTATGATGATCGGCAAGCGTTTGGAATCACACGTTTATGCATGTGTCCTGCTAAACGAGGCGCCTCGTCTCGTGTTACTGGGACAAGGATCGGTGAAAACGAGTCGTGCACCAGTTTTGAATGCACTGGTGCACTTCGAAACCGCAGAGCCACATTTGTTACACGACTGTAAGAATGTCATGGCAGTCTTTTTGTGAGCATGACTGCAGCGGCGGCTTGTGCGAGCGGCTCGTATACCAGCAAACATGCCACACCCCGGCCTCTTCACATGAAAACACACGCTCCCTCCCTGTCTCTTTCTCGTCGCGTTTGTCACTGCCACCAGCTCTCCGTTGCTTTCTCTGCTGTTTTCATCTTGTACTCCTTATCTGCGGCCCACATCTCAACCCATTTTCCAGGTCGTCTTGGCAACAGAGGGTGCAGCACAAAGTGATAGCAGTCCTGTACACTTAAGATGAGAGCTCCTTTATCGTCCCATCTTCGAGGGGCTTTTTTAACCTTGTGCCATACGTCTCAAACCAACCTCCTCATATATCTGAAAATGCAACAGAAGAGCACTTCCCAACAGAACGAGAACACAGGTCCCACTCACTATGTGTGGCTCATTTCATTTCTATTTTGGGAAGCTAAGATTTCTTTGAGCATATAAAGGACCGTTTTGCCTATACCTGAGTTGTCTGTCATCTGGAATTCTCCATACTAGATCCGAGCTCAAAAAACGAGACATAATAGCCATATTTCATGTAAGATATTGTAAAATGTGTTTTTTCTGTGTTTGTGCACATGCAAAAAGGCATTTCTATAATGGACAGAACTACCTGTTTTTTTTACGAGTGTTACCGCAGTGTCAACACAACAGCCTTCAGAGTTCAGAGATGAGGTAGATAAAGCCAGCAAGCGACAAAAAAGATCTATTTGCTCACAGAGCTCTGGGGTTTTCATGTTTGTCATCATTAATCACATACGCACGTACAAATCCATCAGATCTGTGAGGAGAGCAGCACAACCACAGCACCGCAACACACTTTCTTCAGCGACGGCTGATTTTTAACTTTATAGGGCAGCTTTCTTATAAAGACGCACGCACACATTAAAGGGACAGTTCACCCAGAAAAATAAAACTCTGTCATAATTTACTCGTAGACCACAAAAGGACGTTTAGAAGAATGTTCACGCTGCTTTTTTTCCATACAAGCTCCAAAAATGTCAAAAATTCACCACAAAAGTGGCATAAAAATTGTTAATATGAAACAATATGATAACTGTCTGATTAAAAAAAAAGAAAGGGTAAATTAAATTAGGCATCACTGACAACTACTTTGGTAGCACTTTACAATAATGCCCCATTAATGCATTAACTAACAATGATAATATTTATAGAATTTATTAATCTTTGTTAAATGTTAGTTAATAAAAATACAACTGTTCATTGTTAGTTCATGTCAGCTCAGGTCCATTAAATAATAACTTTTGATTTTAATAACGCATTAGATGTTAAAATTAATATGAACTAAGATTAATAAATACTTTAAAAGTATTTGTCATTGTTAGTTCATGTTAACTAATGTTAACAAATGGGACCTTATTGTAAAGTGTTACCATTACTTTTGTTACTTTTTTTGGATATTGGTCACCATTCATTTTCATTGTATGGAAAAGTGCAGCGTGAACATTCTGCTAAGCATCTTCTTTTGTGTTTTATGGAAGAAAGAAAAGTCATACAGACTTGGAATGACATGAGGGTGAGTAAAAATGTTAATTCACACACAACATATGTATTTTAGGGTTAACTATCCTTTTAAGTTCAGACCCTTGTCTTTGCTTGTGTGATATGTTGTAATCATGCACTCACTTCAAGTAAAGTGGCCTTAATGTACTTTTAAAGCTTTGCTGAAAGTCCACGGTGGATTTGTCTGTCAGTCTGAGGGTTTGGTTCAGGCGTGTAGAGGACAGAACGATTGATTTCTGTTTCCGGCCCCTTTGGGTGTAATGAGGGTGTGTTACAGTAGCCGAGCTTATGGAATGTGTTTTAATGCATTTACCTACATAAACAGATTACTACATTGATCCAGATGAGTGATTTTAGTGATTCATATGTTTAGATGGAGACAAAGAGAGGCAGACAGACAGAGAGAGAGAGGGTTACAATGAACTGTTGAATTGTTGATGAGATAATCTGTTTCAGAATTGCATTAGTGTTTTATTGCATTATCGGTAAGGATATTTTTAGCTGGATGTAACACGCAGTGGGGAATTCACTAAGAATGAATTGTGCCTGCTGTTATTGCCATTTATTTTGCATGTGCGTTGCTTTCCCACCCAATTCACCAAAGGAATAATGCAGATTAGGTAACTGAACAAGCACACAGGACACAGTCTATGCTGAAAGTAATAATGTCACATTAATAATGTGTCTTCTTTCTTCTGAATAATGTGCTCTTCTAAAATAAGACTAGAAATTAGGGTTGCACCAGTATTCAAATTCTGCCCCGATTACACTATTTATTTATTTATTTATTTTGCTGACGATGCTGATAAATGATTGAAAAATAAAATAATTTGAAATGCCTATATTATTATTATTATTATTATTATTATTATTATTATATATTTTTGTATTATTATTATTTTTTTATTTTTTTGCTGATAACCAATAAATTAACAGGATCAAATTTCTACATACTACTTTGTTTAAACAAATAATAAAATCATTTTAAATGTGAATTATTGAATTTAGGCATCACAACATTAAATTATACAGAATGAAAATGTATTTATTTTTGATTTGATTTATGTTGATTTTGCTTTGAAATGATGTCAAAGGTAATCTAAATGTAAAAAACAGGGGAAAGAGCATGTACAATTGATAAATGTAAAAATCTTTAATATTGCCAATTGATAATCAATATGGTACCTATATATTGTGCATCACTAGACTTTCAGGACTTTTGCAGGGAATTAGAGTCTCTCTCTTCTCTTCGCTCTTGTTTTGCAGCAGGTGTGATATGCAATGACGGTTCATTTTAATGCACACAAACCACACGATGAAGAAAAAGCAAAGCTTATGTAGACGGGTGCACGAGCTGCTCTGCTGCTGCCTACACGCTGTGAAGCCCTTGCAGGATAGATCTCGCGCTGTAGGTCAACACGACCACATAAACCCTTCATGCTAGTCCTTAAATTGCTTCTCACAATCAAATGCATTAAGATGCACGTTTGCAATTTTTCAAATGTCTCCTTAAATATGTCACCGTGCAGAAAGGCTAAAGTCTTTAAAGTTGACCCTGGCACAGTTAAGGGCAAATGCAATATGGAAGCCTGTGAGAAAAGCCTCTCGTTTTGCAGATGGCCACCAAGGGCTTCTCTCTCTCACACCCACACAGTCTTTCACACACATGTCGACATCACACACATGTGTGTTTTCAGATACACCCGGGCGACATGCAGACATATACATCATGGCCTGCGTGATCAAACACATTTATCTGCCAGATATTTAACCTTGGGGCAAAATCCAAATGATGTCAGTGCTTTGGAATTCACATAAAGAGTCCAAAGCCCAAGTAGGACATGCAGTCTGAGCAGTAGCCAGTCAATACTCCATTGTGTCTCACCCATCTCTGCTTTCATGCAGAGTGACATAAAGCTAATAGCATGTGGAACTCTGTTTGGACCGGGATACCAATACTAACTTAATGCACCAATACAGTAGGAAATCTAGAACCGAGAAGTCTAGAATGGAAATAACATGCTACTTTGATATGTCATGCATGTAGGTGGAATTGAGATTTTGTTGTGAACATCCTCCATAGGACTGTAGTAAGTCATGGTGTTGCTTATCTGTTCAGGCAGCGGACCCATCCAACTCTGGCAGTTTCTGTTGGAGCTCTTGACAGACAAATCCTGCCAGTCCTTCATCAGCTGGACTGGAGACGGCTGGGGGTTCAAGCTTTCTGACCCTGATGAGGCGAGCGGGTATATATATATATATATATATAGTTCATATAGTGTCAGGGTTATTATAGTTAACTAAAACTATAAATAAAATAAAATTAAAGTTAACTGAAATAAAATACTTTTTTACATTTTGTTTTATTTCAGCTAGTTGCGAAGGCATTATTTCGTATTCTCACTTAGTTTAACTTGATGCACTAAAATAACTAAAACTAAAATTGAAATAAAAATAAAATTATATAGACATTTTAAAAAAAAGTAAAAAAAATGACAAAAACACCACAAAATGTCTAAAATATTTAACTAAAATGAAAATGGAAAATATAAAAATAAAATCCAATTCAAAATATTATTGAAAAGGTAGTCTTTAATCAGCTGAACAAATACTTAAACTCAAATGGATACCTGGACAATTTTCAATCTGGTTTTCGACCACATCACAGCACAGAGACAGCGCTCATTAAGATAATAAATGATATTCGCTTAAATTCTGAATCTGGCAAAATATCAGTGCTGGTACTACTAGATCTCAGTGCTGCATTTGACACTGTCGATCATAACATACTACTAGACAGACTGGAAAACTGGGTCGGGCTTTCTGGGATGGCAATCAAATGGTTCAGGTCATACTTAGAAGGGAGAGGTTATTATGTGAGTATAGGAGAGCATAAGTCTAAGTGGACGTCCATGACATGCGGAGTCCCACAAGGCTCAATTCTTGCACCGCTCTTGTTTAGCCCGTATATGCACCCTCTAAGTCAAATAATCACAAAG